ACATATCACAGTTAATGCCACGCAATACCCCACACTGGTCACTTGAACAATATATAGACTTTGCTCTGCGAATGAGTGGCTCTGCCTTCACCGTGGGTGTCGTGGAGGAGGAACACAGCACCTCTCCAAAGTCTTCAGTCGTCATGCCTACCAAGTCTGAACCTGCTCACGTCATGCCTGCTACTCCAAAGCCTGCTAACGTCATGTCTGTCAAGCCACAGCCTGCTCACGTCATGTCTGCTATGCCAAAGCCTGCTAACGTCATGCCTGCTATGCCAAAGCCTGCTCACATCATGTCTGTCAAGCCAGAGCCTGCTAACGCCATGTCTGCTACTCCAAGACCTGCTCCCATCATGCCAGGGCTTGCTCAAGTCATGCCTGCCAAGCCAGCGCCTCTTCATGTCATGTCAGCCAAGCCAGAGCATTCTCCTGTCATGTCTGCTATGCCAAGTCCTCTTCACGTCACGTCTGCCAAGCCAGAGTCTGCTCACGTTAAGCCTGATTCCCCGGCCAAGATGGCCACCACACTTGATTCCCCGGCCAAGATGGCTGCCATGCCTGAGCCTCTCCACATCCCAGCTGTCACCAAGATTTCCCCTAAGGATTTTTTTTGGGGGGGCTATAGTACCCAAGCCCCTGCAAATGCGGAGCTTGGGCGGGGACTGAAAAGACTGATTGCTAGTGTGATGGACCCACCACTGATGTCAGTGCGCTCCTGTCACGGCCACAGAGGCCGTTCACAAACTCACTGTCTGTCCTGCCACGGCCAAGGAGGCCGTTCATGAACTCACTGTTTGCCCTGTCACGGCCACAGAGGTCGTTCACGAACTCACTGCCTGCCCTGCTACGGCCAAGGAGGCCGCTCACGAACTCACAGTCTGCCCTGTCATGACTAAGAAGGCCGTCCATGAATTCACTGTCTGCCCTGTCATGACTATGGAGGCCGTCCATGAATTCACTGCCTGTCCTGTTACGGCCAAGGAGGCCGTTCATGAACTCACTGTATGTCCTGCCACGGCCAAGGAGGCCGTTCATGAACTCACTGTCTGTCCTGTCACAGCCATGGAGGCCGCTCACGATCTCACAGTCTGCCCTGTCATGACTAAGAAGGCCGTTCATGAACTCACTGTCTGCTCTGTCACGGCCACAGAGGCCATTCACGAACTCACAGACTGTCTTGTCATGTGACCCTCTGTTTGCTATAAGTAGCCATGACCTTGCCTTTGTTCCTTGTCGTGTATTGAATGTATTTATCCTGCTGTCGGTTAGTGTTTAGGTCATAGTCAAGTCCAGTCTGTTCAAGTCAAGTCATGTCAAGTCTGTTAATTGTTTGGATTCTGGATCACTTTGTAAATAAAGCTGCACTTGGGTTCATCTTCAACTCGCCTTCAGTGGACTGATCATTACATATAAGCACAGAGTGTCTCATGGTGAACTTGTTTTCTTAAACAGAAAAAAGATGACCTCCAGCCGTAGGCATCATCTGAAGGTAACACACATTTTTACTGTAATTTCATAAAGTACAGATTTGAAATGTAAAATCTGGCTAATATGACTACATTTAAAAATGTTTTGAAAAGTATATTGTTTATCAATCTGTGTCGTCAGAGCCTGGTGCCTTCAATCTACTGGATGCTGAAGCCAAGCAGCTTGCTGTTGATAAGGAGGCTTACATGAACGAACACAGCCCTGCTCTCGATCTGCCTGGATCCACACAAGAGCTGCAGGTGCCAATGCTATAATAGTAATAGTAATAATAATAACAATAATAATTTTAATAAACATTGTTAAATAACAATTATATTGTATTCATTACCATATCAATACTATTGTATTGGTTTTCACCTTTTTTGTAGTATTGTGTATTATGTTATGTATTACATGTGTGTATTAGAGGCACACATACATATACAATCATATATAATCAAATGACAATGTATTACTATACATTTAATAAATATAATTACATAATTTATTTGTAATTTATATATATATTATAATTATATAATAGATAACACAAGGCTTACAATTATATATATTATTGATTAATAATATTGTGATTGTTTTAACAACAACATATTAATATACATTATTTTAGTATCATTTAGATACTTTTATAATTTTTATTAATATTTTGAATTGTTTTTATTTTTATATTTTCCTTTTTCATTTTCATTTCAGTTAAAGTATTAGTAATGTTGTTGTGTTTTTGTCATTTGTAGTTTATGTATGTTTATATAGGTTTTAATTCATATTTAAATTTTAGTTATGTTCAGTATTTTATTACATGAAGTTAAACTAAATAAATAAATGTTAAACTAACAATGAATGTTAAACTAGCTGAAATAAAAAAAAATTGATGATATAGATAGATAGATAGATAGATAGATATAGATAGATATAGATATAGATAGAGATAGATAGAGATAGAGATAGAGATAGATAGATAGATAGATAGATAGATCAAATTAGATAGATAGATAGAAAGATCAAATTAGATAGATAGATAGAATATCATGTATCATCTTGTTTTGGCCTTCCAGGAGCTGTGCAAGAAGCTTCACCAACAGATCGACCAGGTTGATGAGGAGAGATATGACTTGGATGCAAAGGTTGCCAAGTCAGACAAGGAGGTAAAGATCGCGACACCTCAGTGTTGTCGTATGTTCTGTGATTCATCGATTTGAGTGTTGTTATTAATAAATATTGGGTTGTCTGAGCTCCATTTTGACTGTGGTTTAATGCGTTTCTAGATTGAGGATCTGAAGATCAAGGTGGTCGACCTGAAGGGCAAGTTCAAGAAACCTGCACTAAAGAAAGTGTGCATGTCTGCTGATGCTATGCTTCAGGCTCTGCTGGGCTCCAAACACAAGGTCTCCATGGACCTGAGAGCCAACCTCAAACAAGTCAAGAAGGAGGTCAAAGAGGAGGTGGGATGCAGATTCAGAAATGTTTCTTGTCTCTGCTTGGCCACGTTACCCATTTCATGGGAAAATCTCCAAGTGGAATGTATTTGGCCTGGACCCTCTTGTCAGCACGCTGTGCTCATGTCTGATGTTTTGTGTTTCCACAGTCTGCAGAACAAGTCGGCGACTGGCGTAAGAACATCGAGGATAAGGCTGGTATGGATGGCAGGAAGAAGATGTTTGAGTCCGAGGCTTAAGATGTATTGTGGTTATTCTCCCATATGTCTTAAAATTTCTCTGCCAAACATCTTTCTATCCTGTGAACCTCCCGTTCCAAGAAAAATATTTTTCCCGGACTGTTTTGCACATTGTACATTGTCCCAGTGTTGAATGGCATGGCATTAACGATTTGTGTATACATATGTATTTGCCTTTGTGTTTTTGAGCGTTGCAGCACTCCTGAACAGCTAATTATATTACCACGTACACTAATGCTTTGGGTCTGGAAGATTTAATTTTTTTAGAAGACTCCTATGCTCACCAAGGCTGGATTTATGTGATTAAATATGCAGTAAAAACAATATTTTTGTGAAATATTATCTGAATTTCAAATAACAGTTTTCTGTTGTAATATAATATATAAATGTAATTTATTGCTGTGATCAAAGCTGAATTTTCAGCATCTTTACTCCAGTCTTCAGTGCCACATGATCTTCAGAAATCATTCTAATATGCTGATTTGCTGCAAACATTTCTGAATATTATCAATGTAGGAAACGGTTGAGCTGCTTCATATTTTTGTGGAAACTGTGATACATTTTTTTTCAGGATTCTTTGATGAATAGAAAGTTTAATTTTTGATTTAAAATAGAAACATTAGAAATGTGTTAATATAGCAATTTTGTCTGCAGTAAGTTTACATTTGATGAAAGAGACTCAAAGGCATAAAGGAAGATTTAAATTACGGTATTAAAAAAGTTATTATAATAAACAACTTACACTGAAGTAGTCCCACGATACAGTAATAGTGTCATATGGTAATACCATGGTACTTTTTTATGAAATTTTACTAAATGATTCCAGTACCATATTCATGTACCATTTCATTTACAAGGTCCCATTGGAAAATACCATGGTAATACCATAGTACCATGCCCCAAAAAATAAAACATGGTAGTTATGTGGTATATTTCTTAGTTAATTTCACTTTGGTAAACATTAGTGAAAATACTCTAATCAAGGATGTAAAACATTGATGGCTGAAACAGCTGGTTATTAATATGGCAAACCATGGAATTTGTATTACCTTGAAATTAAATTGAACTACCATGGTACAGTTAATAACGTCCAAAAACATTCTCTTTGCTATAATGTTTGATTCTCTAACTGATTATAAACCTTTGAAATGCATGCTGCATGTACACAATAATTTATCATAACATAATATAACAAAGTATGCTTTGTTTTAGTATTATTAATGGGTTTATTATTGTGAATCCCAGTTTTCTTTGTAAAACATGAGACTTTTCAATGAGAACTTCCAACATATTTAGATTTAAAAAAATCTACCCATCTCAATCATCCCAGCTGTTCCTACTACTTACAAATATATCGGGCCTGACCATTTCATTTTTCACAAAGACAACACAGGAACCCCCCAGCACTCTCACTACGGGACCCTGAACCATTTCAGGCTTGCACTTTCACACCCAGCCCACCCATCAGCTCCTCTTTCTGAATCCAGGGCTCTCATCGCCTCCATGTAAGGTCAAGCCGGTCTAGATTTAATCGCTTGTGTGGTCCGGCCATGTTCAGGGACCGTCTTAGATTTCTCCAAGGAGCTCAAGTGTTGAACTGCGAGGAGCTGACTTGCTAAGTATATCTCCTGACCCCACTGCACCAAAAGCAAGAAGATGTCAAACTATGCTGAGGGCACATAATTTCCACAGGCACTTAGACAGACACCCTGAAACCTAAAACAAGGCTTATAACATTTGGAAAACTGCCACCATGAGATCTGGTGTCCATTGGGTCCATTTAGAAGATTGAATTTCAGCTTAAAAACAACCATTTACATACATATTGTTGTCGTCATTTTTTTTTTACGCCTCTGGATACTGCATTGCAAATGGTATGAATGGTAAGAGTTTTCTATGGCTAATGGGGTCCTGCTGTGACACATTATTATGTCAGTAATGTCATGACCCATCTGCGGTCTCTCTCAGTCACATGAACTTATGAGAAACAGCTGCTTTTAACTGGCACATACAGCCATGCACAAGCCAGGGTGTAACACAGGACTATTACAGCTACAGCACTGAAGTTTTGCAGTGCTGCAGATTGTGAAAGGGGTCCTATTTTGTCCTATGCTCTTTTACAAAGTCTTGATTTTGTTTTGGGGGTGTACTAGAACAGGCTGTCATACTAGGTTGTTCGATAAACACATTATTTTTCACATATTTTACATTATTACAACACTAACTAAAGTTGAAAAAGTGAAAAAGCACAATAGGACCCCTTTAAGGTTCATTCCTACCAAGGAATAATTTCAATAATCAGTCAATGAGAATAGGAAAGTAAGTCCACACCACAACTACAGTATTATGATAATGATAGTATGGTGACTTATTTCCGCCAAATGAGAAGTCAAATAAGAAGAAAAGTCCAAATTTTGTGATAAATAAAGTCATAATTATGACATGAAAAGTTAAAATTGTGACAATTTTTGTTATAATTATGACTTTTATCCCATAATTTTGTTTTTTTTGTGTGATAATTATTATCGTATATTTTTGACTTTTAGCTCATAAATTCGACTTATCTCATTATTGACTAAGCATGTCATAATTTTGACCTTGTATCTTAAATTTTACAAGTTTATGTCTGGATTGACATTTCAAATTGGTCATCTAATAATTTCAACTTTTTATGACTATTACAATTAAAATTTTGACTTTTTAAGACTTTTAAGACTGACTTGACCTGACTATCTCATAATTTCAACTTTTTATGTCACAATTATGGTTTATCAAAGCACTTTCAGAACTTTTTTTTTTCCTGCTGATTAATGATAAAAACAATGACGACCAACTAGATTCCACCTGACTTTAAAGAGCTTGAGCATTTAAAGCGTCAGATGACATAACATCAGCGAGTGCTTATTATAAACAGAACGATACTGTTCTGTTACCAACAGAACACAACAACTGTTGATGTGGACACTAATACAGTTATTGTTCTTGGTGTGAATGGCGTGTTCTTGGTGTCAATTTGCATTAAATGAGTGATAAAATCTATTATTGAATTTATATTGAACGAGCTACCCAAGTCATATTCAGAACACCCTAGCAACATGCTAAAACCCACACCTAGCAATGCATTAGAAATATGACAGAACACCTTAGCAACTGCATAGCAACATGCTTCGATTTAAAAAAGAAAAAAGCAGTTGCAACACACTCTCATGGCAATTCGTTTCTATTTTACGTTTTGGCAAACCGCTGGCAAATTCATATGATTTTGAGCAATCTCATTTGTACGTTATTGTAGGATGTGCTTCACTAAGGGTTAAGCTAGGGTAGGGTTAGACCTTCATGCTTAGTTTTTTCCTAAAAATTGTATGTTTTTGTACGACTCAAATCATAAAAATTATTATGAATTTAATACAAATTGCTAAAATATAAAATAGTTACGTTTTCTCATGAGATCAGGGAAGAACTAGTTCTGCTTTACTTGGTCATTACTGGACAAACAAAGTGTATTCAGGTTGATTCAGTCATCATTTATATGCATATTTATTTTGATCTTCACATCACATCTTCACCTAGCAACCAATGGCTGCAAAGTGTCTCACATTTATATCAGAAAAAGTTTCAGATTTATATTCATAATCATAATTCTAGTATTATTATTATTATTTTTTTTTTTTTGAAAGAGACAGGAATGCGCCTGGGTCTCATCTGGTGTTTGTGTATTTGGCCATTAGAGGGCAGATTAAGTCATATATTTGTGTGTTTTCTTTACCACATATAGGAGACGATACAAGATTAGTACAAATGACAGAGCAGAATGGAGACTGGCGGCAATAGTAACTAAATTTCTTCTTAATGTGATGACATAATTAAACTATTGATTATCTAGTATATATTTTTTTTTAGGTTGTTGGAAAATATTTAACATGAATGAAATGCTGACATCCTCTCTAATAGGTAACACAATTAATTATTAATTATAATTGCATTTTTAAAAATTATAAAAAAAAATTTAATGCATAATGAACATTATCAATATGTTTTTGATATTTTTTTTGAGATTTTAATTTACAGACAGCTTCAAAACATTTTATTTCTAGATAAGAAAACAAATACATTTGTTTCCTCAGACTGAGTCTCAGACTATAAATATATTTATGGTTTAAACGGGGGGTATCAAAGAATGATAAACACTTGAAGGCATTCAGAAAGGGTCTGAGAAAAGAATGATGGGACTGAGATGTCACGGGACATTTTTGAAACTCATTTTCCTCATTTTAAGTCCTATGATGAGAATCCAAGTCATTATTCAACATTTCATTGCCTAAAGTGATTGGGTTCAGTTAGTGTATTTCCAACTGGACAAGCAAACAGGTGAAAAATAGGAATCTTTTTAGCAACTTACATTTTTAAAAGCACAAGAGCGTCAAAATTAATGTTTGAGGCATAAATATAACTCGTGTTTTAGAAAAAGAAGTAATTAGGGGAACCTATGCATGCCACCTTGCTATGCCAAGAACTAAAGCATGTATGTTTCTCATCAAACCTAATGGATTTGACAATGAATATACCCAGCCTCATGACCTAACATGCTCTCATCTTCTCTTAGAACATCGAGTCCATCGAGCCAAATATGGTTGTTTTTATTCTTTCACCAAAATTCTGGCTTTTTGAATTGCCAATTTTCTTACCCAGGTTTGGCCTTGGCCTTGATCAGCAAGCAAATGAAAGCTTGTCGTAAACATCCACTGACGTCAACCCCATTTGCACCCAATCACCCACTTGTAAGAAAATGAAACACATGGCATCTGATTACCCTATTAGTAAAAAAAGTATCACCTCTGAGCTGTTATCTCAGTCGGTTGGTTTGTGCTGCATGCTGTTCCTATTCCCAAAACACAGCGGGGTTAACAACCTCTGGAAACTCAATTCCTCATAGTGGGGACATATTATTGGGGCATTAGTCTGTCAGGACATGATACTTTGCCTTTGTGCTGTAGGGCTTTACATTGAGGAAGCACTAGAAACAAAGAAAATGCAATGGACTATGATCGCTAAGACAAAAAACGAATTAAAAAAGAGTCATATCAAAATTGCTGTTTAGCGTTGTTTTTGCACTACTGAATGGTTCCCTGAGAT